CCATTGTTAAGTTTATTCCCTGCAAGGATCCAAAGCTGTCTATGCTGTCACAGGCTAGAAGTGGAGTTTGACTCCCACGTGGAAGTTTGGATCCCTGTCATCACTTGTCTCTCCAATCTGCAGTTAAAGCCATCATGTTTCACCATGGCTGGCTGCATTGTACAACCTGGGTGGTGCCGTATTCCCCTGACATTAGAGTTCCTCTTTCCTCATCTGACCTCTTACTATGTCTTACGCTGCTGTCCTCATTCCTGTTTTCCCCAGGGAGAACTGGTGGAGCTACATGCTGGGAAGAAAAGGTGCATTACTTTCAGAAATAGATCTTTAGGGCACATATGCCACTGATGCCAGTGAACATGCCTGGCAATAACTCTGGATGGAAACACAGGCAAGGCTGACTGATGTTGAACCATCCAGCAGCTTGTCGTTGCTCCCTGACTTTCGTGCTCAGACACCTTTCCTCATGCTGAAATGAAATTTGGTGCAGGCTGGCTTTTGCCACTGTTATCAGCTGAAATGTTTCACTCTTCCCCTTTGTTTCCAGTTTTCTGTTGAATGGAAAAAATATGTTTCATTTTAATATCTTTGCATTGCATCAGCCACATACAATAAATCGCACATACTTGTAAAGGTACCTAAATCTAGAGGCAGGTTTATGTTTCTAAAAGACAGACATTAGGGCCTCTTAGACTATCACAAATGTAAATGACAACAGCTTTTGTAGCTTGTGTCAACATTTTGAAAGCCTCAGTGTTCAGTTCAACAACACAGTGATATTTTTGGACTTGTAGCATTGCTTTTAAATGTGTGTGATGTGACCGGGGTATACCATGGAGCATACCATGCTCTCTGAACCCACTACATGGGGTCTGGAGAAGATACAGATGAGGTGACCTTCCAGCTGGGACCTTTGCACTTGCATCCTCTGTGCTCTGGGAAGTTTAATTATCTTGAGTGTCATGTTGCCTGGAAGCAGCATGGGTCTGCCTCTAAGCTAGAGTTACTCTTTTGGACTCCTGATTTATTAGAGGCTGTCAGAAAAAAGTGGCAATTGAAACATTTTAAATACCATTTCCTGTAAGAGCAAACACCTAAAGTACACAGGGAATTCAGAATTAAGTTCCCTTCAAATGAAGAGAAAATAAACAAATGTGAGCATATGTTTTGATCATATGAAGAGATCCTTAATTTAAAGGCAGCTATTGAGCACCAGTGAAGCAATTCACTCAAACAGTCCTCGATACTCCATTATGTCAATTATCCTTAACCATCCCACCACTTCAGCTATGCAGTGTTGACTAACAGCATTTTGAACCAGTACATCCAAGTGCTTCCCAGTGAACAAGCAAAGGGAGCCGTCCAGTTGGTGAATGCAATAAAGCTCAAGACTACCCCGTAGTTGGGTCCACCGTACCAAAATCAGAACCTTGGTTACTTCCAGTAAAAATAGAGAGGAGAATTACTTGAAGAAGAGTGCTTCTGTCAAGCAACAGTTATGATATGAACCTGGTAAGAGAAACTTTAAACAGGAGGGTTCCTATGTCCCATGCGATTCTGAGCACTGAATTTGAACAATGTGTAACTAATGGATGTCCAAATGCATGTATTTTGGATGTGTAGTTTTGTGGCAGCCCATGCTGTTGATGTGACCTGTACCATTTGGGAATCACCCTAAATATTCACAGCAGCCTTACAACTAAAAGGTTGTACTCAGCTGTATAAATTTGGGCTGATTATAACGTCATAGCTGCCATTACCTGTGTAACTGGGAAAGGTTATGGCATTTGAGAATCTTCAGGAGGCTGAGGATTATGAATGCATTGACAATTCTTTTTCACACACATATTCTTCAGTGTATTCTCTTTAATTAGGAAGCAATTGAGCAGTTCTTTGTTGAGTTATCATGCTACTTCATTAATCCAAGAGTGGTTTTACAGGAAAACAATATGTCTTGTTGGTTGTTTTCAGTATGTCTCAACCTACTAGACGTGGTTTGACTAATGATCACTTTAGTCATGATTGTGACATGCTCCTTCGTTATAGTTCTAATTGTTTTTTAGAATGAATTGTAGTTAATTAGCAAGCTGCTTGCAGCTTATGGAGCTGATAGTAATATAAACACTTGTGGTATAAGGTTGTGTAAATAACTGGAGCTTTGCTGAACTAAAATAATGATTCAAACCATCAGAAACAAATACTTGACATAGACAAAATATTTACAGTGTCAAGTCAAATGAGAACACAAGTGTTTAGTTTGACTAACCATTTGACTTATCATTAGATTGCCAGTGTAAAATACATGTTGGAAAAGGGGAATTTGAAATGCAGAAAGGCAGCACAGTTGGATGATTCTTCTTTTGCCTACTGGGCCAACTGGTGCAGCACTTGACCTGAATGCAGGAAACCAAGTTTAAATCCCTTTGCAGTTGTAATAGATTTGAATAGCTAATACACAGCTCAAAGGTTAATTACTAGTTGCTGATTATTTGATATATTTAGTATCCTTCATACTCATTTTTACTGTCTGAGCTCTGTATCAGAGTACAATTTATTTACTTTTTCATGCTTTTTAAGCACCATCTTTGCTTCATTCTCTGAGATTTCAGAACCACATTTTGTTAGATGCTCTTTTAGCATCTTGTTTGTAAAAGTAGAGCAATATTAAGCAGGTTTTCTCATTCTGCAAGTCAGTGTAGATCCCTAGCCATTGGTAAACCGAGATTGAGCAACAGAAGTTGAACATTCTGGGTGTTTATATGTATAGAAGTGAAAGAAATAAGGTGCTTCGCACTCCTGTGAGTGCAAGAAGTCCACCTTAGATTTCTCTTTCAAAAGTTGAACTTTTGCATTGCCTAGAAAAGGTGTTTTTCAGCATACCTGGTAATCAGAGTGAATACTGTAGTGGAGGTGAATTGGTCTAGGTTCAGCTTTATGAAGGCTGCAGTTTATTTATCTCTGTACTCTTGGTTTTTCTCCAGCTCTTGGATGATATGTTTTTCTTTAGTGAACAGTAAAAAGCATCGTGAGGAATTCTGTTACTGGCTGGAGTGGTTTAGAAGCTTGCTGCTGCTTTAAGAAGCCAGATTTACATATTTCCTGTTGAAAAGATTTACTGTATGTCTCACATGCCTTCATGGAAAGATGGATCCTTCATTATAGGTTTAATGTCACCACGATACAAGGATTAATACTCTTCCCTCCGCCTCAGTCTGCGTGGCGGGTCGCAAGTGAGTGGTGTGTTCCGGGTTGACTAAGCTGTAGGGGTGTTTTCATATTCAAAGGGATGCATTTTTGAATACTTAAAGCAAGCTTTTACATTGCTCTGTGGAGACCCCCCCAGACAGCAATCCTAGAGAAGGATCAAGGACTGGAGCATCTTTCCAGGCTTCTGGCTATTTTCTGTCATGCACTGGGGAAGGAGGGAGAGGATTGTTGACTTTAATTGCGAAGGTTAAGCGCTTAGTATCAAAACCACAAACTGGAGGAAGGCTCAAAGGGCCAAATTCTGCCCTCTGTAACCATGTTGCTGCGTTGGCACGGTCACCATTGCTGGCTGTTCCATGCTTTAACAGACAGGGATATTTCACCCTGAGGAAGTGTCTCCTCACCAGTGTGTGATGCAGAACATGAGCTAATGGAAGATGCAGCTCAAGTGCTACATGATAATTGGGCACTTGGGGATGCACCGTGACATGTTGGGCAAACGTTTTCTGCAAGGTCCCACTGTAGCACAGGTGGGAATGTCTAATGGTCCGCTGAACACTGCACACATGTTTCCTCTGTGCTGAGACATGGTTATTTCTCAGCTGGTTTCACAAAGTGATCGGTGTGGCTGGGGGCTTCGAAGCTTCAGAGCGACACGAGCCACATCCCTGGCTGCTAAAGGCTTGGGGGGCTAAACAAGAGGGCTGTCAGAACAAAAGGTGATTAACTACCAGCCCAAATTAGTCCTTCCTGAAGGTGTAAGCCCTTCGGGGTTCATTTTAGGAATTGTTTCAAGGTCTGTGGAGTTTTTTGAATAAATGGACAAAGCTTCATTCACACTTTCCTTATCTGGGGTTGGGTCCTTCTCCTGTTGTGCACGGTGGCATTTTCTTCCTTTAGCTTTGCCTTTTGCCAGTCTCTTTTCTTCAGGTCTATGATGAGATGAAGGAGGGAAAAAAAGCATTCTAAGCTGTTTCTGAGGTTTTTAAGTGCCCTTGTTTTAAGGTGGGATTACTGGCTGGTAACTTGTGTGAAGCTTCTCAGTCATCTGAGACGTGATTTTGGATAACTTGCTCTTATGTTTGTTTCTCAAGAAATAAAATCTCCAACACTACAGTAAATGTAGTTAGCACTCTGAGGACATTGAAGTGGTAATTTGTGTTAAATATATAGATGGATATAGATACGGATGCATGTGTGAGCAGTATACTCCCACATGTAGTTACACATACACAAACTGTGGATTTAAATAGAACTTGAATTGACTTCTGTAAGTAATCTTAAAAATTATTATGCAAAGAAATATTCATCTTCACTAGGTCTGCACTGATGTTATAGTTCTCTGCTTAAGAGGAAGCTTTGTTGTTCTGCAAATACTTCTAGAGCTTTTTTGGTCCAAAAATGGGGGTTTTTTCCCCCCTGAGGATGTTAAGTCCTGTCTTCCACCAAGGCAGTGAGAAGTTCCATTAATGTAAGCAGGGTCAGAGCTCACAGGGTGTGCTTACTGCTGGATTAGTAAATATCTGGGAAAATAAGTAGTTATGATGCAGGTGGTAAAATTGCCTTATGCTCCAGAAGATGAGATTTAGCACAAATAACATGTATGTTTGCTCCACATCCCAGCAGCAAACTCACTGTTTTGAATGTGTGATTTTCTGTCTGTGCTCACTGCAAGATGGAAAGGGTTTTCATTTCAATACTGAAGGCAATAATTATGGAGGTTATCATTTTCATGCTCAGAAATTCATGTCATTTTCATAAATCATTCATTTCATTTCATAAATCATGCTTTACAGCTGCAGAATGGAAACTTATTGCTGGACATTGATGAAAATCTTGTTTCAGTCACTCAGGTAAGGTTGTGACACTAAAATGTTTTAAGGAAATAGAGATTAAATCATCTATAGGAAACGCACAGTTTGAAAGTGTTCTGTTTGGGATTAACTTCACTAATATCAGATGTGAATAATTTAAGAAAGCCTAATGGGTGAAATCAGATCTGTAGAGAGAGTGAAATCACAAAAATAAAAGATAACTATTTGGTGTCCAGAATCTCATATGTTGCAAGTGGATAAAACTACATCTATGTCAGAGAAGATGCATTCATTTCTTCAGCTGAGAATAGGGTTGTAGAAAAAACCTAGATCCAGATCTGAACCAGTTGGGACTTTAAAATCCACCTCCAAGTGTGGCTGTTTAAAGCTGTCTCTAGTAAGCAAGTGAGGAAGTTGTGTTCCCACTAGATTTCTGTTTACATTCTCTGACATAGTTTTGTAGCTCCTCTTGCACATAAGGTTCCTATTCTGTTAAGAAGTAACTCCCATATGCATATATTCCTTTTTCTTGGGGAATACTATGAATGATGTTTATTACAACACACAGCAAAGACAGCTTTCCTATCACTCTCCAGCTGCCTGTTTAGAACTCCATCCATACAGCTTCTTTTAAGAACTTTAACAGAACTATATCTGTGAAGAGTTTCCAAAGCTCCATCACCTTGAAGCACTCTGAAAAGTATTCCAATTTACAGGGGTATTGAGGCATATAGGTCTGAGTTACCACCTTTCGAATATTCACCACAGAATCATAGCATCATAGAATCATGGCACGTTTTGGGATTGGAAGGGACCTTAAAGCTCACCCACTTCCAACCCCTGCCATGGGCAGGGACACCTTCACTAGAGCAGGTTGCTCCAAGCCCCTGTGTCCAACCTGGCCTTCTATATGAAATGCATATTTTTTCCACAACAAATGTGTAACTTTACAGACAGTTCCTCTTAGCTTGTGTAACCATGTGTGTGTGTCCTGCCCTTTCGCATCCCTTCTGGCTTGCTTTCCTGCGTCTTCACCTGGGATGGAAGCACAGGGAAAACCTTTGCTCATGGCCTCCTTGAGAAGACACAAGCTATTTCTTATCAAGCCAGAGAGAAGAAAACAGTGAAAAGCTCACCAGTGAGTGAAGGAAAAGGGCAGATGTAGGGGTGGTGCTGAACAAGCAATTTGGAGAGATGAGAAGAAAGTTGCTCTTTCAGTGATTTGGTGTCACCTGGCATCTCTTGAGTCAGTAGGGCCTACAGGAGGCTCAAAGTGTTTTCCAAACAAGTGCTTCAGTTGTCATCATTCTGACTTTTCTGGGCATTTTAGCAGTGCTTGCCTAGTGTGTTTGCACACACTGCAGAAGTGACTTCTGAGCTTTTTTTTAGCTGAAGCCACCTCTAACAGTATTTTAGTAACGTACGCTAGAATTGGTGTATCCTAAAGAAAACGGGGCTTTTCTTCTTTCTTCCTTTTCCTGTCTCCATGCAGATACTTACAGGGATATACAAGCTCATATGAAGAAAATATATTGCCATAGCAGTAAAGCAATGTGATCTATTTAATATAAGACATGATGTGAGGAAATGTGAAATAATTCATCTTTAGGTACATCATTAGACAGAAAGCTGGGAGTCATCCAAGCTGCTAGAAAAATTACAGGTCTAAGTGATTGTAGCATTGCTTTTGTATATGGGAATAGAGATTGGATTGCAAAAATATATAAACCTTTGCAATTATTATATTTTGATAGTCTTATTTCTTAAAGGATCATTTCTAATAGAAGGTTGAGGGCAGGTTGTAAAGAGCGACCAGCCCTTGTGGCTTATGTCCAGAGCACTAAGTGACTGCCTTTGTAGGTCAGGACTCAACTGAATTTCAAACCTATGTATATCACTTCCATAGTATGTGATGGATTGCAAGGCTTATGTCCCTAATCTGCGGAGGAAGTTCAACAAACTGAATTAAGATTTGCATTAAATCTCCTTCACAATGAGAATTGTGGCTTCTCACATGTGTGGGTGTGATGTAGTATGATACAGAGAAGAAGGAAGGGCAGTAAGCAAAAGAAAGGTAGTGGAGAAGGAGTAGTTCTTGAGTTCCCATCAAAGCTTTCCAGAATGGCCACCCTGATAAGGATGGTAGATGTGGTTTAGGTTTCCTGCAGTTATAAGGGATCCATTTGCCATTCCTGGACTCCACCTGAACAGATTTGCAGAGGTATATAGGTGGAAGAAAGTAATTTCACTCCAGAACCTCTGAAGGAGCTTTGATTATGCAGCCATTTAAGGTGTTCCTTATTATGAAAGTGCTTTTTCTCTTCTGGTCCAGTTGAGTGAGACCTGTATGGGTGACCTATTTTGAGATCAAACTGAAGGACGCCCTCAGAAAACATTTCTAGCATGAGTTAAATGTAGAGCTATAAACTTACAATAACCCAGTTGTGCATCCTCCTTCAAGTCCACTTATCCAGGTCACACCTGTCCCATGGGCAAGGGGAAATCAGGCAGCACTTTAAAAGCCCTTCCCTTCTGTATCTTTCTAGCACTTCCATAGTCTGCTGCCGTGTTTTAAGACCTTCAAGTGGGGGTTTAGAAAAGGAGCTGGCCATAAATCATGCTTGGTGTTCACTGATGTGGAGGGCAGAGCAGTAACACATCCAGTCCCATTCTGGATATTTTTTTCATGCTTTATTCATTTTCTTATCATGAAGAATTCCCTACAGGATCATTTTATAGGGAGCTGCTGATTATTTGTGTCCATCAGCAATATCAAAATCCCACAGCTTGAACCCATGTGCTTCCTCCATATGGGACTTGACCTTTGAAGCCTATTTCTCTTGGGGGGATTTATATTGCTAAGCATTACTAGTTAACTTTGCACGTTGTAAGTAGTTAACTCACAGCTGCTTCTGCTCAAAAAATAAATGGGTTTTTTTCTCTTTTTTTCTCTCTTCACAGGCTGTTACCCAACTAGAGCTTTTTGGGGACATGTCTACTCCTCCTGATGTAACCTCTCCCCCAGTGAGTACCCAAGGAAACTAAACTGTGCATTTTTCTACATGCTATTTTCAGCACATTTATGGAGCACATTTACAATTCAGGTTATCAGCCATTCCAGTAGGAAGGATTTCAAGTACTTTTTATGTTACAAGAAAATAAAGGGGAAGAAATTGAATGTGGAGTCAGTGCAAAAAATCTCTTCAATTTTTATTTTTCTGATATAGGACTAGGCATCACGTAAGATATAACCTGAGCTGCAGATCTCCTTCCCTGGTGTTCATGAGGGATTCATGCATCACTGCACTCTGTCTCGCCACTGCACTGCAGGAAGATCCAGTTACAGCCTTATATATCATGTCTCTTTGGTCCCACCAAGCACATATCCCAGAACTGCTGTTAAAGGAAAGAAGATAAAGCAGTAAAGAGAGAAAGGGTTGAATGTGTTTTGAGGGCAAAGGAAATTTTCTCAACATGCTTTTCTGCATTGTAAAATGAAACCACAATCATTTTCCTATAGAGTTTCTGAACCTTACATTAAGCTGTAGGGGAGTGTGAATATACTGAATACATTGAGTGACTTTGAAGTCAGGAGCCTCAGATATCCAAGGTACTCTGGAGCATGTCTGGGACTAGATGTTCAGAGTGCTGCCTCCTCATCCTTAGCTTGCTTGGATTGGGTTTCTCCTTTAATATACACCTGTAGTTCTAGCCCTGTTGTTTAATAGGAAGCAACATTTATTCACTTTTCCATCAATCCTGGTCATTGCCTCTACTGGTTGTCACTTAACACCTAGAATCACAAGTCTTTATGTTCTGGAAAAAGAAATTATGTCCATATTTAACATGACATGTATTCCAGGCAAATTTTAGTGGGTTTTTTTAGTTTTTCTCCTGTTTCCAGCAAATTCTTATACTCTTATTTCTACTCCTTTATTCCTTCTACATCTTTCCATTTTTGTTTCTTTCTCTTTCTCCCCTCTGAACCTGTGTTTTTAGAATTATGGAAGATGTGACAGCAAAGGTGTGCTGCAGAAGCTGCAGCTGATATGCCTTCATTGTATTTTATTCCTGTCTTCTTGCAGACTCCTGCTACTCCAGGTGATGCCTTTATCCCATCTTCATCCCAGTCACTTCCTGCTAGTACAGACATGTTTGGTTCTGTACCTTTCAGCACTGCTGCCGTACCCTCAGGTAAGAATCGACTCAGATTTGGTATCAGTTCTCAGCTCTGGTTTGCATTTCAGTACTCAGGGCATTAATTTAGTACAGTGGAAGTGGGGAAGGGTTTTGAGGACAGTGCTGCAGGCCAAGAAGGCAGAACAAGGCTTTAATAAGCAGGGAGAACATTATTTGAATATTCCTACATTTTTTAAAGCAAAAGCCAAAAAAGTCACTGGGAGTTCAGCCATAGTCCAGTCCAACCATCTGGATGACATACCTTCTAGGTACAGTAGCAAGAGAGAACAAAGCATTTAGGTTACCTTTACTCTTTTTGTGGTAGCAGTGAACATTCTGTGCTGTGTCCCTTAAATAGAGAATGAGACATGGAGAATGGGATTGAATTTCAAAACTATTCCACTTAGTCAAATCCTGAAATTTCTTTTAGACTTTTCTGTGTTCCTCAAAGTGCTCCAAATTCAAAAGCTGTGTAGCATTCTGCACAGACACACAAGGCATGCAGTTTTGACTGCTGATCGCTCCCTGGGATACTCAGAGCACTGCAAGAGCAGCTCCACTTAGGAAAAGAAGGAGGAGGAATGCCTTGAATCATTCAACAGTGACTTCCTAATTGGTTAACTGCTCTGATGGGCTGCGTTGCACCATCAGATTAACCACTGCATCTCAGAAAGGTTACACTGATAGTGAAGTGTTTGGGGATAATGTCAGATGGAAACCTTTGCTGCTTGGATGAGGTTACTGTGGGGGCAAGATGAAAGGACACCTGGAGAATTCATCAAAGCCATCTATTGAAGCAGATATGTATCTGAGTTACTGTTCCTTTAATCGCTCATTAATTTAGTCTCTAGAAGTTCAGTTTCTATATTTTATCTTGAGTTTTTCCCTTTAAGATTTTGCAGCCAGCCTTACATTTAGCATTACAAACCAGCCTAGAAATAAGGGGAAGAGGAAAAGGTTCTCAGGAAAACACTTGATTAAAAACAAGTAAAAGAGACGTTGCATATTGTAAACTATTAGCAGTAAAAAGTTAATGTAAATGTGAAACAGCATATCTGTAAAGCATTATACTTGTATCAGTGGAACATAATTGTATGACATGGCTTAAATTGTAACATTTTTACAGTAGTTTTACTTTGGGGTTTTTTTTCAGTGTAAGTAACAATGTACCTGAACATATAATTCCTACACAGTCAAACCCTTGGTAGCTTAAGAGAAGGCTTCAGGTCTTATAGGAAGCCATTATAGTTTTAATCCTCAGTTTCCTCCCAAACTAGATGGGGTTTATGCTACAATAATACATGAAGCAGTTTGTTCTTACTAGGTGTGTCATACGGCAGAAGCTCAGGATCTTTTTCATGTTCTCAAGTAACCAAGTAATAACAAAATGTGATTTTTTTTAAATCTGAATTCATCTGTGCTCTGGCTTTTTAATATGCAATTTGAGACACTTCTTTGCTATTCAGAGTCCCAGTGGTTTGAACTGTAACTGTGTCAGAAGAGATGGCACAGGCTTCCTCTTGCAAGAAAGTCACACTTATTAGAGGGCCCTTCAGTTGTCATCTGGCATATCTAAAGGTTCTTTACTGTAACTTAGAACCAGTTTTGCAGCAGTGCCATTGGCAGGAGTTAGCTGGTGTTGGTGGGTCACCCTCCCCAGCAAATTATAAAAGGTAAAAGGAGGAGGAACACTGTCGGAGCTCCAGAGAGGAGGGAGTCCTGGGCATCCTCCTCCTTCCCTCTGCTTTCTCTGGCTGCCTATTTCTTTAGCAGCATATGGGCAGCTCTGAAAAGATGAACTCCTTCCCAGCCTGAGCCAGTGCAGAGGGGAGATTTGGGTTAGATTTAGGAAGAAACGCTTTGGGAGTGTGAGGCACTCTGGCACAGGGTGCCCAGAGAAGCTGTGGCTGCCCCATCCCTGGCAGTGTTCAAGGCCAGGTTGGACACAGGGGCTTGGAGCAACCTGCTCTAGTGGAAGGAACTGGATGAGCTTTAAGGTGCCTTCCACCACAAACCATTCTAGGATTCCATGACGATGTTCAGCCCCAACCAAGTCCCACACAGTTCTTAACAGCTCCATGGGGGTACTCACTGAGGAAGAAGAGAAGAGCATTTTTGTTCATATGAGGGGAAGGATTATTGTCAATGTCCACCAACCAATGTTTCTGTATGCAAGTATTTGTTCAGTGATGTGAATTCAACTATATCTTTCCATTTTCTTATTAAGTGTGCTGAAGCACTGGGATCACTAGTGTGGCCTGCATGTTGCTGATTTATTGTGCAGCTTTTCCTGCGGCTATGTCTTTCCGTTTTCTTATTAAGTGTGCTGAAGCACTGGGATCACTAGTGTGGCCTGCATGTTGCTGATTTATTGTGCAGCTTTTCCTGCGTGCTCTTGACAGTAGTGTTAAAATCTTTCATCTTTCTTCTTTTTTTTTCCCTGCTATCTTTATTCTTCGAAGGTTATGTTGCCATGGGAGCTGTTCTGCCCTCATTCTGGGGACAGCAACCACTTGTTCAACAGCAGTTGGCCATGGGTGCTCAGCCTCCAGTTGCTCAGGTGATGCAGGGAGGACAGCCGATAGCGTGGGGCCAACCCGGTATTTTTCCTCCTACTCAGCAACCGTGGCCATCTGTAGCTGGTCAGTTCCAACCAACTGCCTTCATGCCAACACAAACTGTTTTGCCTTTACAAGCAGCCATGTTTCAAGGTACCATTGCTCCTATTGCTACTGTTCCACCCACAAGTGATTCCAACAGGTCGAGTCCACAGACAGACAGGGCCAGACAGAAAATGGGAAAAGAAATGTTTAAAGATTTCCAGATGGCTCAGCCTCCACCAGTGCCATCAAGAAAACCAGATCAGCCTTCCCTCAGTTGTACCTCAGAGGCCTTCTCAAGTTACTTTAACAAAGTTGGGATGGCACAGGAAGCAGATGATTGTGATGACTTTGACATCTCTCAGTTAAATTTGACTCCTGTGACTTCCACGACACCATCTACGAATTCACGTGAGTATTCCCATACTTTCAGCCATACCTCTTCTCATACTGCTTCTCAAAGCATTTCCATTTTTTCACACACTAAACTGCAACACACATAGACTGAGAACCTTCATGCATGGTCTAGCTTATTAAATGTGTTCCAGCCATAAAGAAGAGTATCAGAGAGGAATTTCAGACATCATTGAAATCAACAGCCCTGATAGCTGCAGTCTGAAATTTAATTTCTAAGAAGACAGTAATATATGTTCTGTGCTAGAGACATTCGAGCTCGTTGCAAAATACCCATCGCATTCAGCCTTACAAATGGTTTCACTTAGGTCCCATTCAAGTCACACTTTGCAGAAGTTAAGAGATGGGTATTTATTTTAATAGCTTTATGTATTGGACATGGGGGGAAATTCATTGAAGAGCTGTAAAATAAGCTTAGTGTGTTCAAAGCATGGAGATGGGGGGGTTGCAGATTGCTGCAAAGAGGAATTCAGGGGCCAGCCAGAGACCTTCTGTTTCCCTTATGAGCCAGAGCGCTGGCGGCTCAGGCGTTCTTAATGTAATGTAGTGGCGTCTCCCTGGTTCCTACAGACATATAGAGATGCAGCCAAACTTAATTTGGAAACTGCTGAATGAAATCAAGTTGATGGAATTGGTAATGATTTCTGGGTTCAGATTTACTTCTTAAAGCTCCTTGCCAGAAAATAATTTTCAGAGGTAATAGAAGTTAAGGGCTCTAAAGCATGAGCAAACTTTGGGCTGCTGGGTCTTTCTGAACAAATTAACAGATGTATATTCTGTTGCTGTCATCTTAATTTTGGTTTAGCTCCAACCCCTGCACCCAGACAGAGTTCTCCATCGAAATCATCAGCATCTCACACCAGTGATCCTGCGGCAGACGACCTCTTTGAAGAGGGGTTTGAAAGCCCAAGCAAAAGTGAGGAGCAAGAGGCTGTGAGTAGCAACAAGGTTTCTAAATACTGATTAGCTGATTTTAGCTAGAAAAGACAGAAGTTACTTAAATATTTTTTGATAGTGTCAGAAATAACTACTTTAATAGGGCTGGGTGGTAATTAAGGGGGAACTGCAGACAGAATTCATGTGATGCTATTAGCTATGAAAACCAAAGCAGGGAATTTCTCTTGATATGCATTGATATCACATACCAGGAGCCAAACTCAGATTTCATATGTGAGGTTATATATGTTAGTTGTATCCAACGTCCTTTTTCACATACCAGCATTCACTTATTGATGATAAAGAAGTCCGAGGTAAAACAACATACATGCTGAGGCTGCAGAAAGAGATGTGAGAGCTTGTGCATTTAAAGATGATGGTTTGATGTTGTCTTGCACATTCTTGCATCTCAGTTGCTTGGCTAGTTACATTCCTCAGTGTTGTGGCCCTCAGTTTGTGAATTCTTTGCCTTAGACTCAGTGGACCAAAGCAAGAAATGTTATCCAAGCAATGACTTTAAATCACAAGGTATCTTAGGTAGATAAGAGCCCAAGTGAGCCAAAGGCAAGAGGGAGCCTGTACAAAAAAAGTACTCTCAAGTACGACATAATGCAAGCTTGGACCCTCTGATTCACAGTTTCACTGGCTTTCAGGGCCTTTTGCAGTTCTGGTTTGTCTGATCCTGTACCTTCTGCAGCCTGTGGCAGCTCCTGCATAGGCTCCAGCAGTTACTGGTGAGGTTCATCCTGCCTGCATCAGCTATAGGAAACCATTATGGCTTTTGAGAATTTATCAGTGGCGAGCTCTCACTTTCTGGTTTTCATGAGATAGGATGTACTTGTTATGCCCACAGCATGAAAATAACCTCGTGTTGACTTTTCACTTTCTACTGTTGAGAAAAAAAGGTGTTATGTTCTTGTATTCTAGCCTGATGGGTCTCAGGCCTCATCCAACAGTGATCCATTTGGTGAGCCAACTGGTGATACTATAAGTCCACAGGTCGGTAGCTAGATAGCACAGGTTGGGGTAGGTATCTGTCCTTTTTTTCTCTACACCATGAGGTGCTCACTTCTTCTTCCACCAGTGCCTACCATTGCTTTCATGGATGCATGGTTTATTTTTTCCTTGCCATTTATTCCGTTTTCCCTCTCCATTATCCACAGTGTATTCCTCATGCTCAGTGGTTTGCATGGCTTTTGCCATTCACTAAGTGTTGCAGCTTATGCAGATGTGTGTGTTTTGGCTGCCTGCATGCTTTGAAGAAATATAAACTTGTTTTACTTTGTGTTCAGATTTTAAGGGGAAATAAGGAAACTGAGCCATTACTAGCAATGTATTAGGCAGAACATGTTTTTATCAAATCCACTCTGGCCTTTAGTCAGATGTAACATATTAAATGGAATAAAAGACATCTTACCCATAGACATAACAAACATTAAGTAAAATTATGTAATGATACATGAGCACCTCTACCCTAAATCAAAGTGATAATCAGTAGAAGCAGCCCATTTATTATCTGCATGTAAAAAATATTGAAATGGGTTTGTGTAGTTTATCTCCAACTGCAAATTAAAACATCTGAAAATTATGAGTGTTCATATTACCAATGGCATACTGATGTTTTAAAACTGATTCATCAAATTGTAAGTCATTTAAATCCAGACAGACGGGAAAGATGATCTTTGCATCTTTTGTGTTACAGAACACGTTAGAAAATGTGGCTGCCAGTGAATGTTCCATGGTTTGTTTCAGTACAGTATATATGACAGTAAAGCTGCAGAGTTTTATGAGTGCTGAGCATTGTTATTCCATCCAAATACTCTCTTACTAGTGTTACTGTTTGAAGGATATGTTTCATTATCTTCTCCGTGTCTGCCATTCGTGTTTTGTATTACCCAAGTACGTGATCTGATGCAGCTTCGGTGCTTTAGCACAGTGCTCCTGGAGCAAATCCATAAAAATGGTAGAAGCTTTTTGATTTTTGTACAGAAATTGCACTGTGTTTACCACTGATTTATCCACCTTGAGCCAAAGTAATTTGGTTTCTGTTCAAAATTAATAGTTTCATTAGGAGTCAGTTTACTTTGTACATTGAATATGGTTAAAGAAATCTTACAGTAGCTTAGCTTTGATCCACTTGGAAGTAGTGAGATTATCTCTTAATATGTGGTGCTGTGAGAAGGCATCTCCCTCTTCTTTAGTAACATCAATGTAATGCTTAGCTCTTGGGAGCTGAAGCAAAAGTAGCATTAAGCTTTGTGTCTCACTGAGTCACAGAGAATTCTAGACTCTCATTGACTGTAAAAATGATAAAGATAACGTTGAGCTGGAATGAGCTGCTCTAGTGAGAGCATCCATTGGTTATTGTACTCCAGCAAGAGCTGCTTCTGCAGATGGATGGTGGCACCCAGCAATTTGCCTTTGCCTTTGACTGACCTCAGCCAGCACTGACATAGCCAGCTTTTCTAGCTTCAGACCATTTTGAGTGTTCTTTCCTCGATCAAGAAAGGGAATTTGGCCATGAACTGAGTCAAACACTCTGGAAACACACACACACTTGTTTATGATGGTTTATCATAGTCAGTGTAATTCTGAAATTCATTCTGGGGAGAATAATGATAAAAATCTCTTTCTAATTTTCTGACTGTCACTAAGATAGTTAGCATCATTTGTAAACTAGCATCACACACATTTACCTACCAGGAGTTCTGGATATAACTTGAAACAGTAATCTGTTAATGCATAATACAGTGCAAGGCAGGCAAGTGAGGGACTCCCTTTTGTTCTGCTTTTATATAATGCTTAGTAAAATGCATTCTTTGAATACATTCAGGGGTCTCTGAAAGCTACAAGAACAGTGATTCCATATGTTTCTTCTATATTTTTTGTTAATCCTCATAGAGTCTTGCATAACATATGTATAATTCTCAGAAATATATTCTGGGAAATGTTAAATAATGTTACTGATTATCGTATTATAGTAATTCCTGAAAAGCTGTAGGCAGGACAGGAAGCTGAACAAAAAGAAAGCCTCTATCTAGGGAAGCTACACTAATATCATTGTGCTTCTGTGCAGTGCCATTCAGCAGCAGTCTGTAGGAAATCCACTTGCTAAAACCAGCCCATCTCATTCTGAAGCCTACTATCGTCAGAGCAACAGAAAGTCTAATCTCCATGGAAAATCATCAATTCAGGACTTACTACTGTGTTGTGTATTGAGCTCCACACTTGGAGAGGAACTAATGGGGAGAAACATGTAGTACAAAAGAATCACAGTCTTCATAAAAGCCACTTTTGTGTGGTAGATGGGAGATTACTTTGCTCCTTAGAACATGGTTGTTCACACCAAGAACAGCACAGTACACAAATGGGATGAATGGACTTCTCAGGAGCGTGACATAGTGTTGTGTTCAGAAATTTCAAATGTATCTGTTCCCAGCATCTCTGTGAAATCAGCTATGCCCAAACTGTCTTTACTTATTTTGATGTATTCAGAATGCTCACCTGTCTGGTATTTTGTATCCTGATCTTTCAGTGTTTCTCGATTTCTTCTGATGCTACACATTATCATTTAGAAATAATCCAGCCTCTTTCAGTTACTATCTTAATTTCTCCATTTTTCCTTCCTTCCTTTTGCTCTTTGCAACTTAAGCTCTCAAAATCCTCATCCTACCAACAGCTGTTCTTGTAAGTCACTCTTCTATGAATAGCTATAGGTTCTTAGTAGGTAAATATGACATTTTATGGATATGTTACTTTTTGTCCCTTTGTGGTTGGAGGTAAGCATATAGTTCTAGCTTTCACAGGTGAAATGAAGTCAACTTTTTGCAGAGCTGCTCATAGCAAGGTTTGTATTCAGGTTTTTTCCCTTTGTTTATGAGCAGTGTTGAGGATTAGTAGTGATCTTCCAGAATAGAAGAGGAGAACACTGAATAATAAGACTGCCATCTTCAGCTGACTTACATTTAATCCCTACTGCTGTCTTTAGACTGTGTGTGGGATAACTATGGCGAAAGTAGAGAAAGAACAGTATTTAGCTATGATCCTACAAAATGTGTTAAAGGTTTCTTACTACTGACATTTCAGATTAAAGCAAGAACTTTGAAAGAGGAGTTTTCATCTGGTCATCCTCTTTTCATCAGTGCCCTCAATCAGCCTGAATTACAGGGTGTTAGGTGCAGACCCTGCTGGTGTGGATATTTCTGTTCTTGGGGGTATTTCAATCTCAGCAATGGGTCTGGCACACCATGACACTAGGAAGCCCTGGGGCTATATAGTTGAATGTTAAGCAAAGGCTATAGAAGCCGTCAAGCACGATGAGAAAAGGGAAGGAGAGGAGCAAACCTTGACTTTCTGATGCCAGGCTTGTCTGGATATCTGTGGTTACGTTGGCCAGCATCTCCTAACAAGACATCCTGACTGTAGAAAGAATATATTCATCCTGAATGCTGGGATCAGATATCACGAATGTGGTCTAACTCCATATGGACCACACAGCTGGTTCTTGAAGGCAAATTAGCTACAGGGTGAAAATTCTGAGAGTAAGGGAATATTTGATACCACAATTATTGCAATAAAAGTCATTTTTAGTGCTGGAACAAATGCAGCTCTATTGATATGCTGCCCAGTTCAAGACTTGCACTGGCAGTCGTTCATGAGAGATTCTCAGGAAGCCTTCAAAACATTTGTGGCTAGAGCATATCTTCCTGAAAAAGTTGTTTAGTTGCTCTGTGAAATGTGTGCAGACAATTATAAGCCCTCAAAATATGTCACACCCTTCATGATGCAATCAGCACTGTCAGGAGAGCAACAGTTCATTAGAATATTTGTCTATCAGCTTTTGGTGGTACTTTGGTGGCTCGCTGCCATCATCCATCTTTGAGCAAGTGCCATTCTCAGTGATAAATGTTCCTAATAATCTTAGTCAGCTCCAGGATGGACTACTGTAACTGTTATTAGAAAGCTGAAAAACAAATAGCAACTCGTGGACAAAGCACTGGCTTTATCTGGGAGGTTAGTGAGCCTCAGGAGGGCACATTAAGCTGATTCTGCATCCTCCTCTTCCTTCTGCTCCTTTCCTATTGTACTAGGACTCTGAATAGGCTCAAAATATCAAAGGCTGTATTTGTAGGATCTGTAACTATCATTCATCTGGCTCAATAGGAACTAAATAGAGTCCGAAGGGAAACTCATAATGATTATAGGTGACCTATTCTCAAGAGTGTCATTCTCAAACCACAGACAAAGCACCGAGCAGGGCTGTGAATCTGAGAGAGTAGTAGTAGTGTTGTGTATTTGGAAAGGGACCACAGATTGGGAAATACTGCTTCATTCCAGAGAAATCATAAAACTGTTGTTTCAGGCCTGCTGCTTGTTTATTCATCATCATATTTCCCAGGGAATCTGAAGGGTTAAGACCAGAGAAATTCAGGCTGCTCTGTGAACAAAGGCATCCTGCAGATTTGCCTTCATCTCTGCTGCTACAATCCCCTTCAAGCTATCAATTTTAATGTGACCAGCTCATACATGGGTTTCTCACTTCTTCCAGTGTCTCCAAGCCCACTTAAAGTAGCCATGTACCCTGCCATTTCTCCAACTTCTTCCTCTAAACAGGAGACAACTTGCTGTGTAGCTTGTCTCGAGCCGTGTACTTGCTGATTGGCAATCCAGCAATTCAATCAGGGGGTGAGCTTTCCTACCTTTCGCTGTAACGAGGTCATTTGAAAGTTCCCTGTCTTCTGCACAACAACTGATTTAAAGAAGGCACTTGCAATAATTTAGTATCTTTGAGACTTCTGAACAATTTGCTACAAATTGGCTACTGGGTTTAAAAGTTATGAAGGAGAATTGACAGATACATAGACAGAAAGTCTAATTGTGTGGCTACTGTTCTGCTAAGATATAATAGGCATGATTTTGGCTGCAGTTGATTATTATACTGGGATCAAGATGGAGCAAGGTTCATCTTTCTGAGTAGTTCTCATTGCTTCATCATCTTATAGATGTATAGC